GCAACATGATTTAATGCTTGGTTTTCTTTCTTCTGTTGGGCAAGGGAAAGAGGTTGAGGGTTAACTAACCCAGAGGAGTGCAGCTACTACTTCCTGGAGCAAACTGATAACTTCCCCAGAATACTGGCCCTTGGTGTGATTTCTTCTCTCGTGACAAAACCCAGTAAACAATCAATACTGTTAAATTCAATTGTTACCTTGGTTTAAAAAAAAAAAAGATCTGGTAAGAATCATTTCTATTTCTACAACCTGAAACATGGCATATAGCCATTCTAGTAAGGGAAGAGGAACAGACATAGTGAAAAAGGTGAATGTATTGTATTCTTCGTTTTGCTTTTATTTCGAAAATACCTGTACTAGGGTCCATGAACTTTGCTGGCAATATGTCATTACCTCTGATGAAAAGATAGCAAAGGACGTGTTGATTCATACTTTGTGTTTTAGTAGCAGTAATTGACACAAGTCCCAAGAGAGAAGACTACATATTCTGTATGACTAAAGGAGGTTTAAATAGTAACTCCTAAAGCATTGCCAGAAAAGGAATCGGGTTTCAAAATCTTGCAGCTTGAAACCTCAACATTTTCCTGCCAGATAAAATCCTGTTGCACCTCACTCTACTTTCAATATTTAGATTGAGCTGGGCAATGTTTTCATAATACATACATGCAGCTATGAACCTTGACGTGCTCCCGTCTTCTCTATCTTTACAGGTAGTACATATTAATACTTACTACCCACTCTAATCTGAGGTCAGCCCTGGGCTTTCCTTCCCATAAAAGGTAAATTCTGAAAATTCTGTCACATATCCTTGCAAACAATTCCTTCCTTGAGCAATCTGATAAAGAAAGCTTGTATTTACTGGCTTGGGTAATAGTCAGCATGCTTTCCTGGGTTATCTTGTTCACACTCCAGAGAGTTGGAAATTATCTTCACTGTACAAAAAAAGGAAACCTAGGCTCAGAAAGATTAAGTAACTTTCCCAGGAATTTACAGCTAATGGGTGTTTGATGATGCCAGAGTTTAAATCCGAGCAGTCTTTCTGGAGAACTAAGGGCTAGGGGCATGCTGCTTAACATTAAGACACTTTTGTGTTTTGTTCTAAAAATCACATAACATACAATGTGTGTATTACATTACATGCCTGGAACATTAACATTATCTATAAATAACAGCAATCACCATTACTCTGAATAGAAAAGGATTGAGGATATTGGGGATATATTTAAAGTTCACACAATTGTCCAAGACTTTTCTGATTATATATATATCATATAGATCTATCTATACATATATACGTGCATATATATGTATGCACATATATATTTTTCTCATTCTTTCATTAGTACCACTTCATCACTCTGTATATATTAAAACAGTATCCAAGCTTCCTTCCCACAGTCCTCCTATTTTAGTTGTTCATAACAAGTCCTATTTTGTTCTGTAAACAATCTTTCATGTTTTTAATAATTACATAATGTAAGCAGTTACGAGTAACCAGGTTGAAACAGATCACTGGACATTCCTTTTTGTTCTGTAAACACAGACTGCCCTGTTAGTGACAGGGTACTTTATTTCCAAGAATGTTTACAGGCACTTCAGCCTTTGGAGCCATTTAGTGAAGGGAACAGGTGGGTGATATCATTTGAGGCATGTACAGCCTGTGTCTATTTGGGATACTAAGTTTCTTAAGTTTTCCACTCACAAATACCTCTTTCGCCAGCCATGAACTAGTGCATAATAGTTCCAGATCTGAACTAGGCATGATAACAGTTTTGTTACAGGTCACTTAAGAATCAAAACAATAACAAAAAGAATACTGTTGGGAAGAAGAAGAACATCAGCAATCTCAAGGAAGGTCCAAAGTCAACTGGTAAATTGACAGAATAAAAAGAAAAACTGGTTTTGTAATTCAGGCTTCTAAAGGAAAATACTAAACTGAATGAATCACTCAGAGGCAAGATCTGGGAGGTCCAGCTTGCAGGAGGCTCAGGACATTATGGGGCCCTTGATACATGGATCTGTGACACAAAGCCCATGATTTCGCTGAGGTTGCTCATTTTGCACAAAGAAGAAAAAACAAATCAGTGACATCTAGGGCATGGGACCTATGATAGCCATTAATACAGAATAGATAATTCTACTAAATATCTGTGGCCCCAAGAGTGTGCCATTCAGTATTTGTTAAGCATATCAAAATGCAGATGATAAGGAAACATAGCCAGGCATCTAGGACAGACCTGTCATACGCAGTTTAGAGGTGTTTTCCCCTGAAGAGCTCCCACCAACAGATGGGTTTCTACCTATGACTAAGATAAAATGCACAGCAGGGGTTAGTATACTCAGTTATCTCAGCTGTTGCGGAGCTGATGCTGTGACATCCACAGAGGCCTCATTGCACAGGCATCACCAGGGACGCTCAGAGCACTTCAGTGGCTGTTTGAAGGAAAGGATGACGTTTGGTACTGAAGGTCGCAGACACAGGAACAACTCAAGAGATGGTTGTCCTTGTAAATCCTAAAGTTGGCTACCTGGCAAGTGTGAAGGCTGTTGGTGATTCTGCAGAGACACAGGGTGGAAGAAAAGAGCCAGAAAGAGTGTGGACTCCACCCCCCAGCCCCACCCCCCATCCCCCTACACACACATTACCTTGGCTGTTAGCTACTGTCTTCTTCAATAAGGAAAACCAGACTGGCACTTACCATTGGAAGGAAAGGTGACAAAGCAAAGACAGAAACACTGGTTCCTAAATCAGACTATCTAATGCACTGAGCTTCTACATAAACACAAATTTCAAGGTGACCATCTGCGAATCAAAAATACTCTTTAATCTGGTTTAATCTGTTGGCAGTATCCTAAAGGTGGGGGGAAAAAGTCTTCTGGAGGGGGTAAAACATTTCTCTGTCCAAAAGTAAAAATCATACTGTGACAGGAAACAAATATGCTAAAATTCAGCCTACAGACAGCTTCATCCCAATTTTTCTGGGAAAATGGGGGGGAAACCCATATCGCTTAATCAGTGTGTCTGGTTTAGAGGGAGTCACAGCTGTGGGACTACAGAAACAAATGGGAGCCATCAAGGAAGCTCTATAGTTCTCTAAGAGCACGAGATCATCGTGAGACATGAGCCAGGGCTGCACACAGCAGGGAGACCCCTAACCTCTCCCCACCTGAACCACTGCCTTCCCTAAAACAAGCTGAAGTGTGCTGTAGACTTGAACCCTTGCTGAGCGGTAAACCTGCTACTGAAAGGGACCCCAGTCAGACCACCATCTTAACTCAGGAGAGCATCTAAGATAGTGGTCCTCAATCTTCCTAACGCTGCGGCCCTGTAAGTCTGTCCCTCATGCTGGGGTGACCCCAACCGTAAAATCATTTGTTGCTACTTCATAACTGCTAATTCTGCTACAGTTATGAGGCGCCATGTAAACATCTCTGTTTTCCACTGGTCTTAGACAACCCCTGCAAACCCCAAAGTGGCTTCCACCCACAGCTTGAGAACTACTGATCTAACCAGCCCGTACAAACTTCTGGAGAGAGAAAAAAAAAGTCACCAGTAGTGACAAAGGAAACAAAATAGCTCTTTAAGTCTTAACCGTGATGACATTAATCCAGCTCCCCATTTCATAATTTGTTAAGTGCAATGTTATAGTTAATCTCCAAAATAGGCAGTATTAGGGAAACATCACTCTACCTTCAGGAAGGCTCACGAGGGGTAATTAAGGTGAAACTGATCAGCGGTGCCTTTTACGCAGGCACAAGAACGGCCAGTGGCTAAACAATTACTCTCTGTTCAGTTTCTGTTTCGTTCTAAACCTTGCTTAGGGTCTCTGCCAACAAACCAGGTTCTGAAATGCTGAGTGAACCGGAGGAGTGTACTGAGAAAATGCCGTTTGTTTTCTTCCTGCACGGAGCAGATCCTCTGCTTATCTTCCCTAGGCACAGCCTGCACAAGTGTGGTTAATTCCCCACAAGTACTTCCTAAGGTGTGCTGGGAATGCTCGAAGAGACGCCAAACATCCAGATCAACGTTTGGCGAGTGCAGAGGGCGGGTAGAGACCCTCTCAAGCTCCACCCACTTCAGCACCCGTTTAGCGCCTCCTAAACAAGGCGCCCACCCGCGACCCTTCATGCCTCCTCAGTGCATTAGCCTTTCCTACAGATACCTAGCGTGACACTGTCACTTGCGTTGCACTCTGACGGTGGATTGAGGATCGCTTTAAAAAATAAGCCTTAACTCCTTTTTTTACCCCCATTCTATAGATATATATATATAACCGGTAACTAATGGGGATCAGAAATTCGGGTAAATTGTTGCTTTCTGACATCTCTTGGGAGACTAAACTAGCAAAGTTTATCAGGTTAGCCCTGAAAAACTACAACCGCTAAAGCCAAATTTATTCAGAGCCGACCTGCCCCTTGGCACCCGGCCGGGTTCTGCGTGCTTCGCTGACCTTTAGGAATCCCTCTCAGCTGCTCTAGGTTTCCCTACCGCGGCGCGCAATCAGGGCGAAGCTCGGCTCGCACGGCGGCTGTGCAGCGCTTCCCCCCGCCCACCGCGCCGACGCCCGGGAGCCCACGCCGCCCTTTGCCCGACCACCATCTGCGCCGCCGGGGTCCACGCGGCGGCGGGGCGCAGGCTCCGGGACCCCGCGCCCGTTCCCGCTTCCCTCGCTAGAGGGCAGGCGGGACCCGCGCAAAGCCCTCCCGCCGCAGGGCACCCGCAGTCGGGAGGGATCACGCACTAGGAGCCGCGCTCTCGGGCTGGGCTCCGCTACCGACCCGGGGCCCGAGAGCTCGGCCCGAGAGCGCGGCGCCCGGCGGACCCGAAAGAGCCCGGGCGGGACGGCCAGGCTCGCGGAGCGCGCGGAGCGCGGGCGCCAGGTGGAGGTGGCCCCCGCAGGGCACCGTGGGGACCGGACCGGGCTCCGAGAGCGCTGCGCGGGGACGCACAGGACCGGGCAAGGCCCCCGCCTGGGAACTGCGGAGCGGCTGGCACTCACCTGGGCTGGGGTCGCCCTCGCCGGTCGCGGGCTTCCCGCGGGATCCCCGGTCCTTCTTCTTGCCTTTCCCCTTGCCTCTGCCTTCTTTGCGCTCAGCCATCTCGCCGAAGATGAGCGCTCTGCGCGGACCCCGCTGGGCGACGGTGACGCGCGGACAAGTTTGGTCCAAGGGCTTGGAGAAAAGTTTGTCCCCGGAGGACAGAGCGAGTGGCGGGGCTGCGCGGGGGTGTCGCCTGTCGCTTGCGGGGAGCGGCGTGGACTCGATCACCTGGAGCGTGTGCTCCGTCTCGGGTGGCTCGGGGCTGCTCTGGGGTCCCGGGTCCTGCCGCTGCCGGCTCCGGCTTGGCCTCGCTGCGGTGGCCTGTCTCGCTCCCTTACAGCCCGGGGAGGGAAAGGTGATCACGGTCGGGTTTGCTCTCGCATCTCCCGGCAGCCGCCGCCGCTGCGCTCCGCTCCGCTCCGCTCCGCTCCTGCCGTACGCGCAGCCCGGAGTTCCCACAAGTTTTGGGGAAGTCCTAACCGGCTCTTTTTCAATTGCCCGCAGGTTGGACGCAGGCGCCTCCTTCGCACCCTCCCCTCCTCTCGCCCCCTCCCTCTTCCCCACCACACCCCCACCCCCGAGGCGCAGACACGCCATCGGGAGGAGCCTGAGCTGGGCGAACGCGGCTCAGCCCCTTTCTTCTGGCAGCCCGGCCTGGCTAGGGGCGGCCGAGCGCGGCTTCTGCCGGGAACTCCCGACAGGGGTCGCTGGAAGCTGCGCTGACAACGCCGCAGCCACCGCCGGACGGAACCGAGCAGGGGAGAGAGGTCAAGAAGGGACCCTGGCCGTTCTTGACAGTCTGCGGGGCTGATCTAAACCTTGAAATGTGGAGCGAGATGGAGAAAAGTTTGCCACCGCGGTACCTGCCCCACAAGGAAGGCTCTGGAGATCTGGAGCCCAAGGCGGGGAGAGGAACAGTTGCAATTTTCCAGAAGGGTTCAGAGTTTTCTCTCTCTCTCTGTCTTCCCCCCTCCCTCGCTCCCTCCCTCCCTCATTTTAGGGAAGCTTTCCCCTGGCATGAAGGGCGAAAGCGGAGGGGAGTTTGAGGCACCTAGGAAGGGTTCTATGAACTTCAAGTATGAACAGCTTGCGCTTTATTTCGTACATCTGCCATTTGAGCATGTGTCTTCCTCCGTGGGCTTAATAGCGTGCTTGTTGCATTTCCCATCTCCAAATTCGCTTTTAAAATATTCCAGCCTATTCTAAGCACAGATTCTCTTGCTAAACCTGTTTTCCAAAGGAACTGATGAGCCATGGCTCACCACTGACAGTAACATCTGAGGGGGGCTCATCCTCGAGGTGGGGAGTGAGTTGGGACGGTAGAACTATGGTGAAGTTCAGAGCCATAGTTTATTAATGCCAGTTCTCTCTCTCTCTCTCTGTCACACACACACACACACACACACACACACGCACAAGGTGCGCCCCCCCCCCCATTAGACTTTCTGGGAACTGCGAGAGAATTCTTATGTATCTTCCCTCTGATGGAGAACTCAAAAGAGCGGTGAAATCTCAAATAAATAAACAATAAACAAACAAACAAATAAGAATAAACCTGAAATTCTGCTTCAAAGGACAAAAGTCAAAAGCCAGAGTAATCCGAACCAGGGAGTTATTCACAACAGTTTCCATGTAGAGACGCTGTCATCATCACACCACAGATGTGGCCAACTTAGACTGCTCATTTACCAAGGCACAGAGAAGCGGTTCACAGCAACGATCAGATCAATATTCTACAGCTACCCCACTGTGTCCGAGGGGCTTGACCCTTCCTCTTCACTTCCTGGAGTTAATGCTAACTGACCCACCACTGTCAACAGCTTCCTCTGTGCACTCCCGCTGCTACCATCTAAATAAAGGTGAAATCTGGAGTACACCTTTCATACATAGGTGGGGAGGGAGACGCGCAAAAACATACTCGTTTTAAATTGTCTTCAGAAGCATTTTATTCTACACTAGTTCGTGCTGGAGTAAGAATCACACTCTATGATGGGTGGGTGTAATTGTTAGATACCTCAACAGTACTGGCGTCATTCTTGGCTCTTAAATGTTTGGTGTCCAGACATCCTGTTAGCCTTCCAACAAACAGCAGAATCCGAGGAAAGATTGTGACTCTGTGAATGGCACGGCGGCTGTCCACGGAGTGGAAAGAAGGTGGACCCCAGTGCTGACTGAAATAACTCCACTTTCCCAGGAGGGGCCACTGCTCTGCCAGCCAGGGGCAGCCAGCCACTGAAGGCAGAAACCCAGTCATTTCATGAGGGTACTTAGGAGGCAGTGTGACAGTTGAGATTTCCTAACCACATCTTGTCAAACACCAGCATTTTACAGTCCAAGGACTGAAAGCAAACTTACATTTTGGAATTAAAAAAAAAAAAAAAAGTAAGATCTTCCCAAATAATAAAAACCCAAGCCTATGGGAACACTACCTTCTGTCTCTTTTTGGGGGGGTCTACATACTTTACTTCCCAGAACACCATATAAACAGGAATGTCTCCATAAGGATAAAGGAGAATGTACTTTGTAACCTTTTTTTTTTCCTGTTTGAATGGGAGCCATTGAGATAGTTCCCAAACCTTCACAACTGAAAGGACCAAGGAAGATAACTGAAGCTCCAGTACCTTCCAAATGAAACAGTAGCATCGTTCCCATGGAAACTGTAGGAGTGAGGAATGGATTAATATGATGAGGAAGTAAGTATGACTTAGCATTACCTGATTTTTTTTTTTTTAACTTGGAAGAGGAGGAGAAGTGGGTGAGATGAGTTGCAGGAGTAGGTGTTGAAGGAAATTTCAAGACATGGTAGAGTGTCACTTGAATGGTAAGGCTGCTCCTTTGAAATAGGCCCAATTGCCAACTCCAGCTAAAATCAGCATGAAATTCAAAGCAGAGTCACTTTTTTTCGACTGTATTGTTCAGGAGCCTTTATGTTGTTTTGTGTTAATTTTGTGAGTTTATTTACTACATTATTTACAACCAACTGAAAGATTAACAAAAAAAAAAAATCGATTTCTTTGATAGCTAAAATATTTATGAGATTTGTCAAGACCTCGAAATCGTCCTTAAATTATTCATGTCCGTGGTCAGTAAGCGGCAAATGAAATGTTTTGGTGTTTTCAAAAATACTTCGGAACTTACTTATAGACTGAAAAAAGAAAAGTGTTCCTTTTAAAAACTGTAAAACCAGGTATGAGAATGATTCATCTTGTAATCTCTGAACTTTGGAGGAGAAGGTGTGAGAACCACCAGGGCTCCTAAGACCGTACTTTGATTCAAGTGAGAGTCCATTAAAAAAAATAATAATTAGTTAAATATGATATATTAAATGTTAACCTCAATCCAAAAATTTCAAAAGGAGATAACTTTGTGACTTAACGGATTTGTTTTGTATTGTTCACCTCTTAGAGCAGGTATCATTCATGGCTGGTCCGATCTCAGCCTATACATCAAAATGTCAACATATGTCACCTGGCAGATGAGTAGAAAATTGCATAATCACCTTGAGAAATAAAGAAACGTGAACTGTAGACCACACATAAGACAGCAGTTTTGAGAAATTCCATTGTGTACCTTTGCAGCTTTCTTCATGAAGACTTGCTTTTTTTTAATTAATTACACTTTATTCATTTTGTATCCCCCAATAAGCCCCTCTCTCCTCCCCTCCTGATCCCACCCTCCCTCCCGTTTCTGCATGCATGCCACTCCCCAAGTCCAGAACTTGTAAAATCTACAAAGCTCCTTGAATACATTCCTTTGGATTCTAATCCAAGAAAAAAAAAAAATGAAAAAGAACTAACATTATTTCATTTTCGCAAAACGCATATTCCTGACAGGAATGATAAACTTGAAACTCTGTGGGTACTTTTTGCTTTTTAAAATAAAGCAACAAGGTAATTTAAACAAAGATTACTTTTGAAAATCTTTGTGACAGCGTTGATGTCAATAACACATGAGTTAATCTTTACTCCCCCCAGAATCAAGTCCAAATCTGTGTGATTCATTCATTTACCAAGCATTTTCTGAAGAAATAGGAAACAGTGGAAGAACTCAAATATTTGCCCTGGTTCACATAAAACTAAAATCTTGGGAGAAACACATAAAAACAAAAACAAAACAAAACAAAAAAACCCCAAATTATCCAATTCAGCGAGGCTAGATAAATTTTCTAAAGCCTGTAGCTCATAAAATTTGGGGAAATTTTTGAAGGAAAACAACGCAAATATAGAAATATAAATTTGAGGTGGGAATGGAATTCAGGGTGCATGTTTCAGCATATGAGAAGCCCTGGGTTAACTTCAGGAACAAAACAAAAATATAGGTGCAAGAACAGGAAAGAGGGCTGTGACAGTAAACAAGCCTTGAAACTTCATTAACTTCATGATAAATTCACCTCTCCTAATTTCCAGTATATACTCTTATCTCTACTGTAATTATAATAATGGTATAGGACAATTATATACTTAGAGAATAAATAATACTCTCACTATCATTGGACACATTCTACCTAAAAATAACTCATGATTAAAAGTGCATGCAAAACAGGATGGAGTGAAAATGGTCCTGTGCCAGAGGAATATGGGAAGAAAAGAAGCTGAGTGATTCGAGTTTTATAAACAAAATACTTTGGAAAAGCATGGTGCTTTGGCAAAAACTGAGATGATCTCCTTCATTACGTTTAGCAAACACTTGAAAGCATTGCTAATCGGGCACATTCCATCTGCTGTGAAGAAAGTCAGTTTTATAACAAAATGGTAAATTTACAATCTAAAGCATTCTAAAAAGGTGTTTATGTGTTTCTGCTTGTGCACCTTGAATAATTATGACTTGCTGATAATTACTTGTATTTGCCATTATTATTAATAATGACTTTTCATGATTATATGCCCATGATGTATAGCTTAAAGTAAGTAGATGATGCAGCTAATATAAAGAGTTTGTTTATTTTTGCCTCCAAACCCTGCTCTGTTTCTTTTGTCTTCCATGGAATTGATCTTAGGTCCTCACACATGCTAGGCAAGGGCCATCACTGAGCTAAATTACAATATATATTATATATTACAATATATATTATATATTACAATGTATATTATATATATAAATTTAGCTAGTATCATATCTCTTTGGTGGTAAGACAAATGTGTAAGACAATGGTTTTTTTTCATAATTTTTTATATTAATCACAGGTTATTTACTTTGTATCCCAGCTGGAGCCCCCTCCTTCATTCCCTCCCAATCCCACCCTCCCTCCCTCATTTCCTCCCTGCCCCTTTCCAAGTCCACTGATAGGGGAGGACCTCCTCCCCTTCCATCTGACCCTAGCTTATCAGGTATCTTCAGGACTGGCTGCAAAGTCCTCCTCTGTGGCCTAGCAGGGCTGCTCCTTTTAAAAATACTTTAATTCCTTTTGACAAACGCATGCCA